TTCTGAATTTACATTGTTCAAAATTAAAAACTTTATAAATGAACGTTTCATAAGAGTGGGAGTTTTCCTTGACACAATACTGTACAAGCGAAAATCCAATACGTCTTAATACAAGCTGTACTTTGAATAGTTTGAAATACCATATACCTTATCTAATAGATGCCCCAGCATTTATTCTAAATATAGAATTTCTCTCCTGGCATTTATTAGAGACCATCACTTCTTTACAACAGTCAAGACTGCCATACAAGAGATTGAGAAAAAAGAAGAAAAGCGGGATAAACGCAGACCAATAAAATGATAAACCCTTTGATCGCAAATTTTTCTTGGATAATCAGAGAGGAATGCTTTGAAATTGATACTGGAGAAGGATTTCTGTCTTCGACACTCAATAAATGGGTGTAACAGCTTTTTTGGCTCAATAAAATTCTTAGAATTCTTTCAATCCCCCTTTTTTGACCTGGCTACTATTAAGCAACCGGTTATTATTTGAAAGCTTTTCTGACACCCAGTCTTCATTAGAGGCCGGGCATTTATTGGAAAATACAGTACACTAGAAAATTATTACAGTACATGTCAGCATCACATTGTTTCTTGTGATTTTCTCTCCCATAAAACGGACTCAGTGACCTAAAAATTACATGAACAAGCTTTTTTTGCATACATTAGAAACCCTCACATGAACCTTCCTCTCATACAAACAAGATGCGCCAGAAAAAATGACGGCACTAAATTCAGTTTAGACTGTGCCAGTGACATCTACCAACATCAGTCCAANGAGAAGATCCCCAAGAATTCCACGGAATGCACGAACATCGTGTTTTGAATCTTAAGAAATATCTCACCTCGAGTTACAAATTCCGAATTGAACAGGGCTTAATAAAAACTCCTGAACAAAATATCCTCGCCCCTTCAGAACTTCCAACAAAAGCTCTCTCGCACTGGACTCCTCAAATCCTTTGACGTTTTCCAAGAAAATAAACGGAACGGCCCGTTTCACTTTTCTGAATGCTTCAATGACAGCTACTAATGATTTTGTTCGCGCATCAACTAAACCACGCTGCAAACCCAGTCGTGAAAAAGGCTGGCATGGAGGACTCATAGTCACCAAATCGATTTCTTTGAGCATTTTTTCACTGTCGAAGGACTCGATGTTCTTATTTAGGACTGGAACTGATGGGAAATTGTGTGAATAAACTGCATTCGCGACAGGATGAATATCTGCAGCGGCCACAACGTTAGCATCAATCGCAGATGCCTTTAACGCGCAATGCATTCCTCCGATTCCCGAAAACAACTCCAGGACACTCAGAGCCATCGTAAAAAACCCTAGAACAGGTCAAAAACGAACATTGATCAATATTGCGAGAAGAATGCATCACTGAGGTGAAAACAATTGTAATGCATATAAATATATAAAAAGAACACATTTCACAGGATTCCGAGCTACAATTGCAAATTCCGAAGCGTGACATCCGGAATTATATGCTTTCACTTATCAACTCAAATTTTGAGCGTACACATAAAGAGCAGGTTTGCTGTCCATCGACCGACTGTGCAGTGAGAAAATAAATGAAATTGCGAGTACGGCGGATACTGAGAAAGAAAAAATTGCACGTTGTATAGCTGGAATATCCATTGTAAAAAGATTATATACTGCAGTATTCTTCAGGGATGTCCTCGAATTGCCAAACACATTCGTTACATGAGCCCTCAATATTGTACAATTTACTGAAATTCACTTGAACCTTCTCCATCGCAGTCAATTTAAACGATACCTTAAACGTGTTCTACATGAACAAAAGTTGAATTACAAAGCTTTCCCACTACGTTTAATGCTGAAAGGATCACAGCTTTTCTTCGAAATAATTTCAGTAAAGCCACTGAGTAGAAGTCTTGCACGGAAAAATGTAACACATACGTACACGAACTAAGCACGGATTCCATTGCCACTTCTCGATATTTTTTGGTCACCGACAAAAAAATTCGACGAATCCAACTGCTTAGTTTTATGCCCTGTTTTATCATGACAAACTGTATGGACCAATTTCAAATTCACAGTCGTGAAAAGCAAGTTGAAAAAATACAACGTATTCAATATAAAGCCTTTTGTCATACAAGATTTCATAGCTTGTATCATGCCAGGTAGAATGGTTCTCGATTTCTCGATACCATGATCGAGATTCCAATTCTGAAAAAGTATTAAACTTTCGCGGTTGTCGTAGGGATTGATTTGGTGATCGACGTAGGAGCATATATCCGAATTGAATGGTCCTTGGCATTTGAAGGAACCTGGGGAAATCGCAGCATCAATCAATAACTACAGAACAGGAATCGAACGTTAAATAATACTAACCGTGGCTGTCACATAACCGCAAATCTCTAGCGAGTTCCTCACGATTAAAATAATGGCCATGATAATCTCTCTCCTTCAACATATCAGTCAACTCACGGATGATGGAAAAGGAAAACTGCACTTCTTTCTCGTTCACAGAATAACGGTTCCGCAAATACTCTTTCGTCTCACGCAAATAGTTCCTCATCCGACTTCTGGCCCTATCTTTCATGACTTGATCTTTACTTTTGAATCTACCCGGCAATCCCTGGAACCAACTAGGATCCTCTTCACGAGAATTCAAAGAACGGTTCACAGGCAGCCTTGATACATAAGAATTTAATAGCTTCGTCTTGGCTTCACGCTTCTGACTAAGGAAATCCCCCACGACACGCTCCATAGATGATATTTGTGGATCTCTGGAAAATGCATCTCTGAGCTTACGAAGCCATGGGTTGAACTTTTCCCATGGCGAAAGAAAAACTAATTCCGAATTCCTCGCAAGGGTTCCGAAGTATTCGTCGTCATCAACTATTGTGCCATCTTCCACAAGGGCGATGTTCAATGGAACAGAAGGAGGCACATGGTAGTCATTTCGCACGTGATCCAGCACCTCATTCAAGGACGATACACCGCGCACTTCAATCGAATCACTGAACGAAGAATTCCAAATTCGCATTCTTGGCTTGTCTGTACGTCAGGCAAATACACGACACAGATTATCAGTCAGGCGTCATGACGTAATCTCCACGTTGACTTTCACTTAGACGGAAGCAAGCACAGACCAACACCACAAAGGAAACATGACTTAGCGTGTTTTTCCTTGAATGTAAAACTCACACGAATACTGGTAAATTTAAACACATTACTCCGCAAGAACAGGCCACGGAAGTGTAGCATGGTCCTTCGCGAACTGGGAAGGCTGACGTGATTTACGGCAAGCTTGAATCGATCAGCAGCGATAGGAAACTGTTCTGTACTGTACTTGATCAACTGGAACTCGGGTGGGAATAGTGACCTGTTCATACCAAGTGTTTGTTAAAGTACTGTTCAGTATATCAAAATTTGTGAATTACATCATATACTGCTTACACTATACAGGTAAACTTCCTCTAATAAATTATCTGTGTAACCAATTTTTTTTTCTTGGTCATGCATAGAGTTCTCTCAACATATCACAGGGGTTCTCAACATCACATTTCTCTGGCCCCAGGAATTTTGTGGCGAAGAGAAATCACAAATTTATACAGTATACTGCTACTGTACACAGTGTATAGTTGAGCCAGCTTCCCATTCATGTCATGACAACTCCCCCTCTATACAAAATGTTTTTCAGCTAATATTATGCATGAAATGTGAATCTTGAGATATGGAGTACAGTGCTGCATTTTCCATGAGTGGACTTCTCGCCGGAGCTCACATATGAGCTACAGAATTTATGCTGCTCCCCCTTCCCCCTGCCTCACTCCCCATGCAGCTGCAGTCCCTCTCTTGTGTGCATGCTCCAGCAACTTCAGAAAGTGGAGCCTGGCTGTTCTGGGAAGAAACAGTGTAGGACTCACACTGCACTCATTGCTCTATTAAAACTTTCAATGGAATGCATGCTGAAGATTATTTTTAGACTTCTCTATTGTCCAGTATAGTATGCATTAGTTTGTTTAAACAATATACAATTTGTATTATGTTTCCTTAGTTGACTTGGTAGTAATGAAATGTGATAAATCTGGGCATTTAAAAAATAGGAAATTTGCAATTAGGGAATAATTGTTAATGTAGAAGGGCTTAAATGCCAGAAGTAAGGGATTCTCTGAGTGCAGTGTACAGTACCTTACTGCTCTGAGTGCTACAGTACCTTGTTGGATTCATCCATTCATATACAAGTGTAGAGCTGCCGAATTTACCCTGCTCCCCCTTCCCCCTGCCTCACTCCCTGAACCCATCACTCTCTCCTTAAAGAAAAATCATGAGAGACTTAAGAAGGCCTGTTTGAATAGGTATGAACAGTGTAGTGGGAGAAGTACTATCTACAACTATAATTAATATTCATTTTACTAAACCTTATGGCTTTACTAGTGGAGCTGCATAAAAATTACAATACAATTTTTATGCAGCAGAGCCAACAAACAGCTTTTTCAAAAGGGCACACTCCGTGCTGGACGTGAGTGGACTTCTCGCCGGAGCTCACATATGAGCTGCCGAATGTGATGAAAGACTTTACATGTTGAGAGCATTGAAACTGCGGTTTTTCACACCGAGTGAAGTGGCGCGATTCATGTGCTTTCCGAAGAGTTTCGGTTT